TGGGGCCCCAAAGATTCAGATCGTCTTTGGCCGGAGACACTGCGGGATATGGCATCGAACTGAGGTCAGTGGCACGAATTTGTCCTCTCCTGTTTGCAATCCCAAAAGTAAACAAAAACAAACAACAAAAAGTCAAAATGGCGTGCAATAAACAAACAAAAAATTGTTACTCCCCGAAGTTGACTGTTTTGTTATGCCCGTTTTCTTACCTGTATTTTTTCGTTCACCCATGGTTATTTTTGGCACCGTATCTGTAAAGATTGGTGTAATATATATATATATATATATCGCTCTGAGACTGGTGCTTACCCTTTTCAGGTTTCTGTCCCCAAATGTCCGATTTCTATCTTCCAGTCTTCTTTTTTGCCGAGGACTACGAACTTGTGGAACACTGTTCCCAAGGTGGTGTTGGCGCAGTGGTTTAATCGCTGTCACCGGCGTACTTTAAACCCTGTGTTTCGAGGTTCGGGCCCTGCCACCCGACGTTTGTGGTAGACAACTTTGCTTTTGCCCGGTTCTATCTCACGCCTGATCTGGTTGGGCCTTATGTGGTTCGCCACTCCAAGTCCCGGGGCTTAGGGTACCGGTTACCAGCAGCAGGCTTTTGTGACTATGGGGCCTACCGCGTCTGCCGTCCAGCACACATAGGTGTGTAGCAAAAAAGTTCCGTGTTTCCAAGGACTCACTCTTTTCAAAAGCAAAATTAACACATTGATTTTCACTTGAATGTTCCCCCGCATACCTCCCTCTTGCAGTATATCGTTGATTATAGGGTTTACCCCTTTTTCTGTGAATCACTCCGTGTGTAATGAAGAAGTTATAAGCATAAATTAGAAATGAGAGAACTGGGATGGTGAATAAAGTAAATTTGTAAGAGCAACCATCGACCAAACATTGTTTCTGCACCGTGGTGATATGTTGTCCATTTTGTTTTTCATGATGAAGGGCTCAGTTTTAGTAAATGGGCAGTTTGAATGGTTTTGACAGAACCCATGCTAATTTCGACTGAATAATCGAATCTCATCATCGAATAGGCGTCTACTCTAAAAAACTGCAGTCTCATTTGATAATGATTTCTTTTAGCTTCCAATTGGTGGTTGTTCGCCGTCTAATGTCCTACGTTTAGGGGTTTATTGTTGCTAGAGCATTTTCATTGCACCTGCTTATGTTTGTTCACATTTGTTCTACAGACCTGCAAAACGTTTGACGATGTCTGTGGTGGACTTCTGAATAGAGGTTTCCGACAATTAGAACGAATAGTTTCCGCCCGCCAAGCAGCTATTCGAACTAAACTACCTCGAAGAGAGTCGGAACGTCGAACACATCCCCTTAGTCGGTAAGTGTCTCAGTGACTCATAATTTGACACGTGAGCAGACATTGTGAGGTCCTTTCCGCTATTGAGACCCGTCTTTCTCTTTTGAAAATGAGTATCATGCGATATGCTGACGAAGGCCATTGTTGCTTCTTCGCTGGAAAGGTTTTGGACGAAATCGGTTCGGTTTGTCGTTCGGTTCAGTCCACCAATGGTTTGTCCATCCGGCCGTATAAGCTGTTACACGAAATGCGAGACATATCCTCCATGGCTGTCGAGCACTTTGAAGATGTGCTATTACCTATGATTCGTCGAAGAATCAGTTCCGGTTAGTTTATTTTTTGTATTTTTTTCAATCTATCTTCTATTATTCGGCTAACTTGTAACTGTCTGTGGTTCATTCGTATATTTGTAGAATGGTTGGTGTTTCAAAATTTTTACATAAAAGTCCTACTGCAATACGGATCATAGAGTATTTGAACAATAACTTGAGATACACAGTGTTGCAACGTTGCACATAATACGACTTAAAAAAACTGGAACAGAATAGTGTTGTAAAATTTGTCTTTATTCCCATGATAATACCAGTGTTTGATATGTTCCTCCATCTTCTTAACCCGCAAAATGTGTTGTCATGCTAATCTAATCTAATTTAACACCTTTATCCGAAGATCCTATTGGATTTCAAAACTTTCTCCTTCAATCACACCTTAATCCGTTGAAATGTTTGGAATTTGTATTGACTCTTAAATGAGATAGAAATGTTAATGATGAACTACAAAGAGCACTGAATAATGCATACACACAGCTTTGGTACCACCGCCTCTAGAGTATTGCGTCCAAACGTGGCCTCCTTTTCCAATAACAGTAAGCAGCTGCTCGAAGCAGTCACTCACTCTATGCAGTGGTGGGTGCCTGACCTGTGCAAACTGAACTGAACTGAACCATTCCAGGGATGGTTCACAAGAATATTAGCTGGGCTTTTAGGGAGGTCCTACAAGGAACGACAGACGGATCTCGGACCGTTTTCATTGCGTCTCCACTGTTTGAGGAAAGATTTATTATACGTTTAAACAATTAAGGGGGATTTCAATAACTGACACCACTGTTTAAGCTCACTCGGAATTCAACTCTCAGAGCTCATGAACTAAAACTGATAAAACCGCGGACCAGCGGGAGTCCCCGGGCACAGCTTTTCTCCTACCGGATGGTGAATAAATGAAATAAACTACCGCCCGCGGTACTAGCAACGACCTCCGTCGTTCAATTCAAACCATCACCGCGAGATTGCACCTTGACGTGGTGTGATGGCTTGTGCATCTCTGTGACCAAACGAGCTATACAGGATGGCTATTGTAGAGCCAGGTCAATGGGTAGAGGTCAAACGAAGTCCACTCTCCTGGTCCTCTAGGTTGAGGGTTCGACTGGAATTACCGTTCAGTCGGTAAAAAGTGGTGGAGGAGTGATCGATCTAAGTAAATGGGCCTCCACTTCGCTTCATCCGCTGCCTTGTGATTAGATTCTTGACAACACTAAAGGCATTGAATGAGAACCCTAGTCGTTCTCCTGCTTAGTGCCTGGACACTCTGGCAGTGCTCGTCCATCAAACCCCAATGCATACATTAAATAAAAATAATTTCATACTGCTTTGATCGTCGTGCAGGATAATCAGAACCGCGCTGCCCATTGCGTCGAGCGGGGCGGGTAGTGAAAAGTGGGCTACTGCTCACATATCCCAACCTTTGTTTAATTATTTGTCTTCAGCATCCAGCCCTCTCCATTTCCCCCTTCTTCCAACTAGTAATAGTCCCTCAAGTAACTTGGATGTCGCTCGCCAAAGGTCGTTGCCAAATAGCACTGCAAGTAATTTACCACGAAATGGATTGCAGATTCTAAAGCCTCGTCAATCACTGAATCTGGGGGCCTTCAACGTGAGGACTTTGATGCAGGTAGGTCAACAAGCTTGTCTGGCTCGTACAATGGAATGCTTGGGATCGATATTTGCTGCGTGTCGGAAACTCGAATCCAGGATCCTGCTACTATAAGCCACTTGAGCGCGCCAGATTTGTCTTCGCGATATGTTCTTCGCATATCAGGCGACGATGAAGCTCGTTCACTAGGTCAGCGCGGGGTAGGTATTGTACTCAGTAACAGTGCGGAGTCCTCTCTTATTGACTCGATCTCCGTCAGCAGTCGTTTATGTGCAGTGCGTCTCCAGGGTTCAATCAACGTCCGGAAGGGAAGCAACACCAAACGTGTTTGCTCATCGTATCGGCATATGCACCGGCCGGTTGCAGTTCTGATACACAAAAGGACGCTTTCTACGATTAACTCATCGATCTCATGCGACTGAGTCGCAGCTCCGATATAGTGGTACTTACAGGTGACTTAAACGCGCAAGTTGGACAACTGAGCGCATCAGAAGCCTGTCTAAGCGGTAGTCGTGCTCTGCCCAGCCAAAGAACAGATGACGGCGATCGACTTCTTCAGTTCTGCACGGATCATCATCTGTTCCTATCTCGTACCACCTTCCGACACAGCTCTCGACGGACGGCAACGTGGCGCTCCAGTTCAACTGGTACGCTAACTCAAATCGACCACATCGCAGTAAGCTACCGTTGGCTTGGCTCAGTGCCAAATTGCAGGTCCTATTGGACTACCTTCATCGAGTCTGACTACGCATTAGTTTTGATGCAGTTCACTCTCCAACTGACTGATCGGCGACAAAACCAGCAAACTGGTATAGCTCATCGTCGACTATCTGTTCCAGCCGTTCACGCACTGTATGAGTCAGAGCTAGTGCATGAGCTAAGCGCGCTTCAACGTGATAATTTAAAGGAGCAATGGGATCAGATTAGGCGAGCAATGTATTCCGCAGCGAATGTTGCTTGTGGGTCCGAAACTGAAGCCCGTCGGAGGCATTGGAGTCAGTAGCCCTGATTTGGAAGAAACGGCAAGTCCGGACCTGCCAGGATCAAAACAGAGTTAGGTGGTATCTACAACGTCAGCTCACGAAGAGCCTCAAGAAGGACCATGAGAACTGGTGGGCAACAACAGATAGTGAAATGGAGGTAGCGGCTGCATCAGGGAATAGTCAAAGACTGTTCCGACTGAGACGCAATACGGGAGGTCGGCGAACTTCGGTTAGTGAAATAGTCTGCGATAAGAGGGAACAAGCTATTCACAATAGGGATCAACGACTCGATCGCTGGGCAGAATACCTAGGCTAGCAGTTCAGCTGGCCTAGTGCTAACCAGGCTGCTTCATCTACAACGGAAGCTCCATGGGCAGTGTCATGCGATGCTCCAGCAGAAGCAGAAGTTCGGTCTTGCATTCAAGCTCTGAAGCGAGACAAGGCCGCAGGACCAGATGAGTCCCCTTTCACTCTTTTCAAGATGTGGAGTGATAACCTCGTAAGCTGTATTACTATCTTACTGCGCAACATTCGGATGCAATAACACATTGCTTCATCTTGCAGCGAATCACTTATCGTTCCCATTTTCAAGAGAGGATGTCACAACGACTGTGAAAATCACCGCGGGATCAGTTTGATCCCGATCATCACCAAAGTACTAGCTTCGGTCATACTTCGACGTCTGACGCCTTTAAGAGAGACCAACATCCGTGAACAGCGAGCCGGATTCCGGCCTGGCCGTGGATGTATTGATCAAATTTTTACGTTGTGTCAGATCCTTGAGCTGCGTCACACCCATCGTCGGCCAACGATCGCAGTGTTCCTTGACCTGAAAGAAGCCTTCGACTCAGTTGACGGCGAAGCTCTGATGGGCTCCTTTCTTCGAAAAGGAATGCCCCAGAATTACGTTAACCTACTGAGGTCAATGTACTCACAGACCTCTGGTGGATTAAGGGTTTACAACAATCTAAGTAGGCCGTTCGTCACCAGCAGCGGCGTCGGTCAAGGATGCCCTCTCTCGCCGTTCCTGTTCGATTTTGTTGTCGACGAAGTACTGGAGAACGCACTAAGGGGATCTCCAAAACGTAGGTGTTGAATGGGCAGCTGGAGAAAAGCTGCTTAATTTAGAGTACACCGGTGACATCGTCTGTCTGTTCGAATGTATGGAGGACGCGCAAAGCGCATTTGAGTGATTAACAAGTGCAGTAGTCACATTCGGTATATGCTTTGCACCTTCAAAGTGCAAAGTGATGCTGCAGGACTGGGTATCGCCTACGCCCGCTCTTAAACTAAATGGTCAGGAATTAGTTACGGTGGATTGCGTTTCCTACTTAGGTAGTCGCGTGACCAATGACGGTAGCGCATCAAGGGAGATAACGGACCGCATTTCCAATGCTCGTGCTGCATATGCAGGACTGAAATACCTTTGGCGTAGACGCGACGTTTCACTGAAGTTGAAAGGTCGTGTATATTGTGCTAGTTTTCGTTCAGTCCTGCTTAATGGTTGAGATTTTTAATTTGCGAGTAGAAGATATCCGTCTACTGGAAGTTTTCGATTGTCGGTGTTTACGTAGTTTAACCCACATTGGATGGAGCGAACGGGTTAGTAACGTGGAGATAAGCCGCCATGTGTTTGGGAGTCAATCAGGTATAAACCTGCTGGCACGCCGGATTCAGATTGGCAGACTTCGCTGGCTAGGGCACATGTTGCGTATGTCCAGCTGTCGTCTGCCGCATCGCGCTTTGTTCACTGTAGCTAATCCGGGCTGGAGGAAACCGCGTGGAGGTCAACAGATCACGTGGAGACGAAGCATGAAGAAATGGACGGAGCCATTAGGTAGATTGGGTGTCTCTTGCTTTCCAGGTTGGGGTCCGAAGGGCTCCACAACTGTTTGATTGGAGACGTTGAAGGATATGACAGCAAGCCGACAGTAGTGGCGTTCTTGTTGTCGTTTATTGTCGGATTAGAATGCCTGAAACGGTATGTATGCAGTGTTGTATTTCGTACTGTGTCGACCATAGTGGCTCTCCTTCCCCGTCCCACAAAGTAGGTCCAATCCCCGTCCACCTTAAATTTTACCACTAACCTTGCATTCATTGCTAGTTTGGCAGCGATCAGTGAAGTTCGTCCCTCTGTATTTCGCTGCTCGATGAGAATGATGATGAAGAGAAAAGTCAACCTTTTTAACAGGTATACAGTTTTTGCCACCCAAGTTGAATAGCGATACCGGATCCAAACTTATACTCTATTGAAATTTTTTTGATAGGGATGATATTGATGCCTGAATATGAACTATGAAAAATTCTGGTGAAACAGGTTTATTTCATACTACCCATCGCATCTTATTCACTTATCCAGCACGATTTTTTTTAGCCTTATCGCCAACCGCCAAATTAATTCTTACACAGCGAATCTGGA